TACAAGTCTAAAATTTTGCACATTAGTGTATGCCAGTAGAGGGGTTCGTAAATGGGTCATGTCGGTCCACATTTTCGTATAGCCCCCCAATTTCGTATTGGACGATGTTAATGGGTACTAAAGCCTGTGACAAAAAATTGCGTTTGCAGTTCCACGTTTCGTATAGCCCCCATATAACGATACCTCCCAATATTCGGAATTTTTATGGTATTAAAGACTATAGAATAGAATTGTTTCAAATTTCGTATTTAAAGTTCGCAATGTGTACTACAGCCCATGACAAACATTTGAGTATACAGGTCGACCCCTTCCTATATAACGATACCTCCCAATATTCCTTATTTTGATGAATTTAGATACATTATTCACCGGAATTGTTTTTAGAAGTTTGTAATGGATACTTTAACCTATGGCAGAAAATTGTATATGCAGGTTCACGCCTTCGTATACCCCACATATAACGGTACCTCCGTTTTTTCGATATTTTGATAATATTAGCACATTACCCAATGGAATAGTTTTAAATTTCGTATTTGAAGGTCCTAGTGGGTACTACAGTCTATAACGAAAAGTTGTGTATGCAGGTCCTCGTCTTCGTATAGCCATGGTTCAGAAACGATTTTCATTTAAAGGGTATTTTTCGACGAATTTTTTTAAAAAGTTTTTCCAGTCCCTTCCAAATGGTGGAGGGGATTAAAAGTTCGGCCCGGTCGAACTTAGGTGCTTTTTTACTGATTTCTGGATACATTAATAGCTTTGGCAATGCACATAACTGATCTTCACTACAAAATCGACAATTCTGTTTATTTCTGGTTACCTCGTTGCGACAAAAATGAGCTTCGTCGCTAATCACAATTTTTTGATATATAGTGGATCTTCGGCCAACTTTCCAAGAACATTTTCCAAAAATTTTGCGTTGCAGTAGGTCTTTCGGCATTCTAAATGGGTTCACACCTAAGTTTTTCTGCAAAATTTTCTACATTTTTGAACAACATAGGCCCAATTGCTGCGAACTGCGAGGTTGTTCGTTTGTAAGACGATTCATGGTTAAAATATATACCAAACTGAAGTGTCAAACATCTTCAGTAAAACAAAACACGAAACGTGAGCGTGAGCTATTTAAACCAGTTTTGCCAAAAATATAATCGCAAAAATCACTCCTTAGTAATGTATAGCGTATATGCAGACCTTGAATTTGAAGAAGGAGTGAAACTCAGTCGAATTCGAGCGGAAGAGCTACTGGGAGCAGAAAAAAAAATCAAGTAAACTCAATTTTTCAATATTGCTTGAATGGGAGTTGAGCATGTTTTTCGCCTCATCCTTCATCTTCTCATTTTTTTGAAAGTTTTAAAATTGTTTGGATCTCCATTAAGTATGCTATAGAAATGTGAAAAAGTCACTTTACATATGACTCTACCATTCAATTCCTTATTAAGGTAACGTGATTAGAACAAACAGACAGATATCGCTAAATCGACTTAGAGTTTAACATTGTAGGAGGTAACGTGATTATTTCGAGCAGTTACATACATAAAGTTAATATGTCTCCTTAGAATGGTGGATGGTGTACAAAATGTGTGTATGGCGCCTAAAAGTATGCCATGAAAATGCTTAAGATAAATGTGGAAATTCCACTTTTCACATGACTCTAACATGATGTGTGTGAGCTTGCCTTAAGATTATAGATATTCCAACATAAGCTTAGCTGAAATCAGATTTAACAAAAATAAAAGTTGGGTTTATGAATAACCCTTTTAAAAATTGCTTTAAACTAGTCATACTATTCTTTATAATTTTGTAAATAAAAACTATGTACAAATATTACAATAATACTGATCTGTTTCAGAAACTGCAAGGATTTTGCCTTTTTTTGCGGAAAAAACTAAAAGTCGTCTATCGTAGTGAAAACTTTTATATTCTTGCCGTTCTGGAACAGACCCAATATATATACAAAATAATTGTCAACTATTTTTTTTTGCAACATCATCTATCTCCATCTTTAGCTTCAGTTTTCTTTGCTTCTGCCAAGCAATGATCGTTTATCTGCTGCTGTACAAAAAAAAATATTAAAAATTTATATCTTTTTGGGTTTTTATTAAAAAAAAAGACTTTAAAACAATTTTGTTGGGGAATTTTGGAAGTAAAATCGATAATTTGTTAACATTACAAAAATGAGTGTTGTGTCTGTCTCTGTTTTTATTGTCAAAGTGCGTTATTTTATTGTCAATTTTTTATATAAAATCATTTTATTTACATTTTCATAAAAGAGGGGTATTTGTAAAACTCATTGGCATTCATTTTAGTTTTAAGATTTTTTGTATTTGGAAAAATAATATACATAAAGAAAACGCTCTTCAAATCATAAATACATATGTACATAAATGCTACAGATGATGAGGTGAATCAATTTAAAATTTAATTATATTTTTATATTATATAAAGTTACACTGTATATTTTTGAAAACCATCCAATTCTAAATGCAAAATTTAGAGGTTATCCCAAGTCAAAGTAAGCATAATTGCCTGTTTCGTTTCAGTAATATAGAAATAAAGTATAAAAATGTTTTCAAAAGTTACAGGGAAAATCCAGCAAATTATGAAAGTAAAGTCGAAAAGCTGAAGACATGTCTTTTTTCAAATATGGTTGAAAACTCCCTTTAAACGAGATCGTAAGAAGTTAAAATATTTTACAAAATTATTTGTCATGAAATTCTACTATAGGTCCTAGAAGACACCAATGGTCTAAATTTTTCTTAAAATTTTAGGGTAAAAGCCGTACTTTGTGTGAGTTTTTGCAAAAATCTCCAAAAAGCACAATTTTAAAAGGATAACGTCAAATGTCACTATAAGTCATCAAAGACAAGAAATTTCTATTTCCATTATTTCCTAAAAAAATATTGGCATCATAGTTACCAAAAAAACCAAAAATATTTCGTATTTTTATACCGGATATGTTTCTTCTGATTTGTTGTTTAGGTCCCTCACATTCGTAATATGTACTCCACAAGAATGATATTTGGTACCAGATATCAGATACTGCCCAGAAATACCTCGGATCTAATTTGGATATAGCTCCCATATATATTTTCAACCGATTTCTGGTTAATTGTGCACCATATTTCCAATATCAGTCCAAATGATCTGTATTTTGGCACATCCGACCGAATTCAGTCTAGAAGCAAGTACATCAAATTTTGAGACAATAGGTTCATATATAGCTATAGCTCCCATGTATATGTTTCATCCGATTTGGTCTATAAGACAACAATGATATTGGTACCAGATATCTTATAAAGCTCGGAAATACATACAATACAATACACAAATGGGGGGACGTGTTGCTGGATAAGTAATTTTTTGTCATAGGCTGTACTAACGATTTCGAAATTTGACACAATTCCGGTGAATAATGTCGCTAATATCATCAAAATACCGAATATCAGGAGGTACCGTTGTATGAGGGCTATACTAAGACGTGGATCTGCATAGACAATTTTCCGTCATAGATTGTAGTATCCATTACGAACTTAAAATACGAAATTTGATGCAATACCGGTGAATAATGCCGTGACAATCCTGGAAATACCGAATATCTAAGGGTAGCGTTATATGGGTGCTATACTAAAACGTAGACCTATATAGACAATTTCCAATCTTCCACAGGGTAAAGTACTCAGAAGAAAATCCTTGTGTGCATTTTCAGACTATTCCATTGAAAAATGTGGCTAAAATCATCAAAATACCGAATATCGCGGGGCACCATTGTATGGGGGCTATACTATATCGTGGACCTATATAGACAATTTTCTTTCAGGGGGGTAAAGAACTCACAGAGAACTCCCCGTGTAGAATTTCAGACAATTCCATTGAAAAATGTGGCTAAAATCATTAACATACCGAATATTGGGAGGTTCCGTTATATTAAGGCTTTACGATATAGCGCATCTATGTAAAAACAATTCTTTTTCAGGGTGTAAAGTAGTCACGAAGAACTCCTTGTGCAGAATTTCAAACAATGCCATTGAAAATTTGGTTAAAATCATCAAAATACCAAATATAGGGGGATGCATTTATATGGGGGCTATTCGATATCGTGGACCGATATAGCCCATCTTCGAACTTGACCTGCCTGCAGACAAAAGACGGACCAAATTGTAGCTTCCTATTTTTATTCGTTTCCGCTCTAGCGTGATTACAACAGACGGACGGACGGGCAAGGCTAAATCGTCTTAGAATTTTACGCTAATCAAGAGTATATATACTTCGCTGGGTCTAAAATTGTTACTTCGATGAGTTACAAATGGAATGACGGAGGTATAAAAAGGTCGTTTTCGTGTTAGAGAAATATATAAGCTGACTTTTTCCACATTTGTCTTTGGTATATTTATAGCATACTTTTGGGGCGCTCTAGTTTTATTTAAAAAAAGTCACTGAGAACCTTGCCTAGAAAATAGTGAAGCATAATTATCGCATTTTTTGTCTGAGCTGAGAAATTGTTATGACATAATACCAAAAATCAAACTTTAGCACTATTATAGCATACTTTTGGCGCTCCCTGTTTTAAAAGTACCAAAAAAAAGTCGTATTTCAGTACCGGCATTTAACATTACAGTAGTAGTTACTGGAAGCCAACAAAACTCATTTAAATTTGACTCCCACCTGTTGTGTAATCTGGCCTTAACCAAAGGACTTTAGTAGCAACATAATGTAATAATACAATCAACTTCAAAATAATTTTGAACATGTCATATATTTTTTCTACTTTTACTTAATATTCACTACAAAATTTTTTGAAATTCTGTAAACATCATCTGTGGCATTTGCAATAACAAATGATTTGAAAAGCGTTCAAACATTTCATTTCTTATTTTTTTTTTATTTCATTTTATTTTGTAATTAGTGCTATAAATTTGTTTATAGCTTAGAAATGCTTTCAAAAAACAATACATATAATAATATTTTTACATTTCCATCTTTTTTTTTTTCTACCTTTAATTTAGAATCGTAATACGGAAAATCTTGGTACACCCGGTACACGCACCAGCAGTGTTTTACCCGATTTGCTTAGTCAAGCTTCGCCAGCAACTCCGCCACGTCACGACAAATCATCCAGTGAAGAGGTAAGTGAATTCGTTGCTTTTGCCAACATTTCTCGCTACATTTTTTATTTAATTTTTAGTATTCACTTAAAGTAATTCGAAAATTAGTTGGATAATTTGTTTATTCTTGTATAATTTATTATAATACACACATACGTAATACATAATGCCTTAAACAGATTATATTACATATTCGCTACATACATATAAGTTATCATTGTGTTTTGTCAATTTTGTTTATCCGTTCCTAGTTGAGATTTGATTTAAATTAATTATTATTTTCGTTGTTGCATTTTCACTTAAAAAAATAATACAATTCAAAACATTTATAACAAAATTGTTGCAACAAATCAATGTTGTGACAATGGCATTCAGTCTATTGTCCCTCCCCCCAACAAACTGTGTTTGTCTGATTCAGTCATTTCCTTCATTCATATGTGCCACCCAAAATGTGGAAGTCAATTATTATTATTACTACTATTTTAGTTTGTCTCTGTTAACTGTGTTATAAGTTTTATTCCGTTTCATTTTTATATTTGTTGTTGCTTTTTTCATTTTCAATATTCACATAATTCCCCCTGTCCCCAGTCAGTTATTTACTAATTTAATTCATTTTAATACAAATCCTTATTATTTTTTATATTTTTAAATAATTAGAAAACATTGAGGTATGGGGTTTTTTGAGAGCCTTAAGATAATACTAGATTTAATTCAAAATTTTGTAACTAATTTCAAACACAAACTGCTGTATGGTGTTGTGGTTTTTTTAAGCAAATTTCATATCAACAAAACACATACACAGGCAACTATCACCTAGGATACAAAAAAAAACACTTTTTAGGGAAATTAAACTAATATTTCTATAGGAACATTAGAATTGTATTTCAAATGTATAGATTTTTTATTTTAATTGTTAATCAGCAAGACTTTTTTGGGCGGTCAAAATGTAAAGAGGTTTACTTTTAGAAAATCAAACTTTTCGACTCTATTGAAAGAAGGTATTTATCTGAGGCCCATTTTCCATATTGGAAAAGCTGGAATAAATACATAGAAATAATGGAATAGAAAGAATTTTATTTCAATTACAAACTAATTAAGGCATTTTGAGGGATAGAGCAAATATCTAAGTGAATTCATACGACGTTATAATTTAACTTTTTTTTAAGAACAAGTCTTTTATCCACAGAAGTCCTGTAAAAGGTCTTGCAGTCGTAGAAGATCTGTGAAAAGATTTCTCAATCTAACGAAGATCTGTAAAAGATTTATCATCGATAAAACCCCCCACACAACACTTTCGTTCGCAGATTCACTGTAAAAGGTTTCTCTACATGGATGATCTGTAAAAAGTTTTTCTTTCTCCAAGAAGCCTTATAAATAATATTCTCCCCCTAAAAAAAACCTTAAGAAAGTCTTCTGTCCATAGAAGACCTGCATAAGGTATTGGCTGCATAATTCTCTCCATAGAATACATAGAACATATCCATAAAATGTCTTCTTTCCATAGAAGATCCGCAAGAGTCTATTTAAAGGCTGAAAGATTTTCATAAAAAAACATAAAACTAAAAAAAGTAAGAAAGCTGTAAGTTTGGCCGAGCCGAACTTTGAATACCCTCAACCATTTGAAACGAAATTCGCATTTTTCAAAAAAATGAAAACCATTAAAAATGTTGTTAACATTTTAAAAATAACGAATGTAACCGTTATATTAGGGTCTGTACGACGTGAACCGTCATAGGCAACTTTTGTCATAAGCCATTACAATATTATACAAATGCGAAAGTTGAAAAAATTCGGTGAATAATGTAGCTTAAATCATCAAAATGCCGAATGCGAGGTACCATTATATGGGGGCTATACCAAAACGTGGACCTGCACAGACAATTTTTTGTCATAGGCTGTAGTTTCCACTACGAACATCAAATACAAAATCTGAAACAATTCCGGTGTATAATGTCGCTAAAATTATACAAATACCGAATATAGGGAGGTATCGTTATATGGGGGCTATACGAAGACATGGACCTGGTTGTAGTATCTATTACGAACTTCAACTACTAAATTTGAAACAATTTGAAACATCAAAATGCCGAATATTGGGAGGTACCGTTGTGTGGGGGCTATACGAAGACATGGACCTGCATGCGCGACTTTTTCGTCATAAGCTGTATTACCTATTGCGAACTTTAAATATGAAATTTGAAATGATTCCGGTAAAAATATCGCTAAAATCATATAAATACCGAATATTGGGAGGTCCCGTTATAAAAGGGGGCTACACCAAAACATGGACCCATGTAGACAACTTTCTGTCATAGTATCCATTTCGTAGTTTAAATACAAAATTTATAACAATTCCGGTTTATCATCAAAATACCGAAAAATGGGAAGTCCCGTTATAAGGGAGCTATGTGAAAACGTAGACCTACATGACCCATTTACGAACTTAACCTGCCTTCTGACAAAATTCACATGTGTCCAAAGTCTCTTTTAGCCTTCTATCTCAATTCGTTCATTCGGCCATCCCTAAATCGGCTTAGATAAAATTCAAGAATATATGTAATTTGTTGGGTCTGACATGAGTATTTCAATAGTGTGGTGGAGGGTATAAAAAATCATGAAAATTTTTTTTTTCAATTGATAATACGGTTCATATAGTTTAATGTTTGAAGAATATTTCATGCAAATGATGACCGCGACTGCGCCCCAAATGGGCTCAGTCCAATTTTGGCATACTCTTTCCAACATCTCGGCCAACATCACTGGTTCAATATTGTCTTCCTATGCGTCAATTGAAGCGGGCCCGTCTATAAAGAAGACCATAACCTGGGTTATTCAAAGAAGGTCTCATTATTATTTTTTTATTCTTATTTCTTAGACAGGGTTTCCTTTTTTTAAGTAGCCTATTTATGTGCCATTTATCTTTTTATTTTTATATTGTAGTTACAATTTCTACTGGTAGATTATATTTTTATTAATTTTTAGAAAATAAATGTATATTTTCTTAATATTTTTCAAGTTAGAAATTATGCATATATTTTGAGTTTATTTTTCGTATTTTGTATTGTCATTTTATAATATCTATATTAATAATATTAATAACAACAACAACAACAAAATCCAAACATATATAAACCAAAAACAAATATTTTTCTTCATATCCATTGTGCTTTGTCTTTCCGCGACGTTTTCTTTTCTGTGAGCTGATGGCCACTGTATGAATTTTCAATATTCAATTAGGCAAATTTACCTAACAATCACAAACAAATTGTAAGTATAAAACAAATAAATCAATAAAAAATTTAAAAAATAACAAACTGAAATTCTTAAAATTTTAAAATCAAAAACACTCTCATTTTGATTAGCTTAGTTTAAGATCGTCTCCTATATACTTACTTTTATAGACCAATAAAACCAAACCAAAAAAAAAAACGCTCCGAACCAATCATTTCTTGTAAATTCCATACTATATACGCATACATATAAATATTCTCTCTCTCTATTTTGTCTTTCACTCACCTGCTATAACGATTACATTTCGTTTTGTTTCAAGAATAAAATGCTATAAACACAAATTGAGAATGGTCAACAAACTTAGGCAAAAATTGAACTATGAATTGAATTAATGTGTTTATAGTAATTGAAACTCAAATATAACTTGAATTTATCAGTCATAATTAATATCAAGGACTTAATGTGTGTATAGCTGGCCTCTAATCGTATAAAGTATTTCTAAACAACATGTCTAAAAGTATATCCTTTTTTTTTTTTTTGTTCACAATAGTGTATAATGATTTCTTTTGTATGTAATTTAGTATTTTTTCTATTTTGTAATATATGTTAAAATATGATCAAAAAAATTAACATCTGTATATTTTTCTAATTTGTTATTTCGCAATTCTCTACACCATTTCTAGGTGCTACGAAAGAAATTTCATTAATTTTCGTATTGGAAATAATTCGAAGATTTGTATGCCCACCAATATATTGTTCAAAAATAATTATATTAAATATTATCTAGCAAAATATAAAACTAGATAAAGAAAGAAAACAACTATAGAGTTTTCTGTGACCTTAATATCAAATTTCAGAAATGTAACTCTGCTATTTCCCCATTATTAAATTATGGTACTAAATTTAGTACAATTTTAGTACGCATATCGAAAAATGAGCTTCTCTCATTCCCAGATGCCAACAGAGACCTCAATACCAAATTTCGGGATTCCAGCACCATTCCTTCAGCCAGCACTAAATTTAGTATCAAATAGTACTTTTCGTACAAATATAGGACATATTTCCCAACCACAGATACCATCAGAAATCTATGTATCACATCTCAGAATGTTATCTATATCCCTTCACCCAATAATAAATATAGTACCATTCAGTTTTTTTCGTACAATTATAGTACACATTTTCAAAACCACCTCAAATGTACTTTCCAGGCTTGATTATCATCCCGAATTTTATGTGCTTAGCTCTATTCGTTCACATAATACCAAATTGGTACAGTTTTAGATGTTCAGTACCATTTTAGAATTTTTCGAATATTTAAAACCTTTTGGTACATTTATCGTGCACTCCATCAGTGACTCCCATTCCAACTTTCTTCCTTCTTTTTCCAAAATCTAGGTCATTTCGTTTATACAGTACAAAGTATTTACTACGCTACAATACTGACTCTCGTGCAAAATTTAGTTTAAACGTTGATTCTCTCTCAGTCAGTTATTTCCACTGCTCTCATACATACATAGATTACGATGTGCTCACTTTTGAGATGAGATCCAGAAGGAATGAGACGACATGGTTAATACGCCCCATAATAAAGGCCCGACTACACATAATGTCAGAATCATATAAAAATGAATTTCTTTTTTCACAATTATTTGCAGCATTTTTATTATAGCATACTTTTAGACGCTCCCCTGATTTTTTTATCTAAAAAGAAATTATTTTTATATTTTAGCATAAAAAGAATATTTCATGCAAATGTAAATCACGACTACGATTCAGACGGTCCATCCCTTATTCCAATTTTGACATACTTTTTACAACATTTCGTCCGGTCTGCCAATGCGTTAATAGAAGACATGTTCTATTACATAGCCTCACAAAAATATTCTGAAGACGCTAAATAGCAATATCTATGTGGACCGGCCAAAAACATGAAATAAAATGTTCGCCTAAACGCCACTCAATAAGTCCATTGTTACGAGTGCTGTGTGGCATGTGGCACCGTCTTGTTGAAACCACATGTCATGCCAGTCAAACTTCTGCAAATTTTGGGCAAAAAAAAGTTGGATATCATCCCACAGTAGCGCTCATCATTCACAGTTATGTTGCGATTCGCAGCATATTTGAAGAAGTATGATCCAAAATTAACTCTAGGCCATAAACCGCACTAAACTGGAACTTTTTCAGACTGCATTGGTAGCTTTTGTAATGTTGCTGGCTGGTCTCCTCTCCAAAATCGACAATTATGCTTATTACGTACGTAATGAAAAAGACGTTCATTGACATTTGGAAAACTGGTTTTTGGTTTTCTTTGAAACCCTTCCCCTATCAGTATATTACTCGTCTATACTTTCCCTCGACAATTTGAATGAAAGTCTCCGTAGATATCCTGAAATGGTGGAAATATAATTATTTAATAAAAAATATGTTCGTGTGTGTATTAGTATAGAATTTTAAGTCTATTGTATTGTCTTAAATTGATATGATATGAATAAAATAATTTGTATGATATGCTATGTAAAAAATTGAAATTACGTAATAATAAATTGTATCTTTGTTTGTGTAAAAATGATCGGTAGGAGAAAAGAAAAACTAATCACTAATGGTTCATACGTTCAAATCATCATCAGTTTTTGTATATATATGTACATACTTTGTTAATGTTATCATCGTCGTCATCATATCACCTCATGCAGAGTGTTAGTATTTTACTATCATTATTTCGTCTTTCATTATTTTGTCAGATTTGCGCTTAGGAATGAATAAAACGTTCATGTTCTGATTCTCTCTTCCTTGACTTTTATATTTGATACACTTCTTTATTTCAATCGCGCTTTGAATTTCGAAAATAATGTTAAAATATGCTAGTCCAGGTTAAACAGGATGTTTACATTAATATAAATAAAAGCCTTACAGATAGAGGGTATAAAAACGTAGTTCTAACCGATTAAAATGACTTAAATAACAGCCGTAGGAAAATAAGACTCAATATTTTCCATATCTAGATTAGGTTGGTTGATCAAATGCTAAATTTTTCAAAGATTGTAAGACAAAATTCCAACTAGTTCCAGAGTTATAACATCATTAAACAGAAGACTCAGTTCGGAGTCTATGACCCAACCAATTATGAGTACTATATAGCTTAGTTGAAATAAAATCGATAATATTAAGACTTATATGGTTGTGTGGTTACATTTCCTTTTCTTCAAAAGCTCCCTTTAAACAGGATCGCTACAATATTCGAAAAAATCATTTCTCATAAAATTCTACTAAAGGTCCTAGAAGACGTCTTTTTAGATGCGTTTGATCTCTGGATAAAATACTCAGCTGAAGTATTTGATAAGTGATATTTTTATCCAATTTTTTGTTACAATGGAAAAACGAAGTATGTACTGGTCTTGCTTTACCCAATGCAAATTTCAGATCCAAAAACTTATATCGAAAAGGTAATAAAAAAATCAAGCAAAAACAAGTAAAAAAGCATTTAAGTCTTGGCCGAACTTTTCATACCCTTCACCATTTGGAAGCAACTTGAAAATTTTCAAAAAAAAAAAAAAAAAATACGAAAAATACCGTTAAACTTTTATACGGGGCTATACGAAGACGTGGCAGACAGGCATAGGCTGTAGTACCCATTACAAACTTCGAATACGAAATTTGAAACAATTCGGGTAAATAATGTCGCTAAAATTATCAAAATACCGAATATAGAGAGGTACTGATATATCGCGACTGCACGAAGACCTGGACCTGCATACCCAATTTTCTCTCACAGGTTGTAGTACCTATTAGGAACTTCAAATACGAAATTTCAAACAAATTCGGTGAATATTGTATATATATATGGGGCCTATACGAAGACCTTGACCTGAATAGAAAATTTTTTGTCATAGACCGAAGTTCCCATTGTGAACTCTAAATACGACATATTAAAAAACTCCGGTGAATAATGTAACTAAAGTCGTAAAAACACCGAATATTGGGAGGTACCGTTACATAGGGGCTATACGAAGACGTGGATCTGCATACGCAATTGTTTGTCATAGGCTGTAGTACCCATTACAAACTTCGAATACGAAATTTGAAACAATTCGGGTAAATAATGTCGCTAAAATCATCAAAATACCAAAAATTGGGAGGCACCGTTAAATAGAGGCAATATGAAAACATAGTTCTGTATACGCAATTGTTTGTCATAGGCTGTAGTACCCATTACGAATTCTAAATTCAGAATTGGAAACAGCTCCGGTGAATAATGTCCCTAAAATCGTCAAAATCTCGAATATCGTGGGTACCGTTTTACGCGGGCTATGCGATATCGTGGACCTTTTATAGACATTTCTCTTCCAGGGGGTAAAGTGCTTAGAAAGAAGTTCTAGTATAAATTTTTAGACAATTCCATTAAAATATGTAGCTACAATCATCAAAATACCGAATATTGCGGGGATACCGTTATATGGGGGCAATAGGATATCGTGGACTTGTAGACATTTCTCTTCTAGGGGTAAATTACACAAAGGGAACTCCTTGTGTTTATTTTTAGCCAATTTAATTTAAAAATGTGTCTGAAATCATCAAAATTCGGGATATAGGGCGGTACCGTTAGATGAGGCATATACGATATCGTAGACCAATATAGACAAAGTACTCGGAAGGAACTCCTTTTGTGGCTTTTCAGACAATTCAGACGGAAATGGAATGGCGAACTTAATATACCCTCCATACTATGTCTGGTGGAGGGTATAAAAAATTAACAAATGATATTCGCCTTAACAAAAAAAAAAATATGCACACACTTTTACATACATACATACATACATAATTAAGTAGTTACATACATACTTAACAAATATCAAAATATATATCTCCAAAACGTTTTCAGAACAACCACACACATTCACTCCTATATCAATTGTCAATTAACCCTGTGATTACACATGCAAGTTAAAATACCTAGAAATGAACCTTGACAGTAAAAAATTTCCCCAAAAATAAATTTAAAAATATCTACAGGTTGAGATAAAAAAACTGCAACAAAGTCAAACGCCATAATTTTTACACTTTTTTTTAATTTTATTGAATGAAAGTAAAAAATGTCTTAAATAGCATCAAATTTTAGAATAAGTTTAGATTTGTTCGAATTGGTCACCTTTGGCACGAATTATGGCCTTCGAACGGCCAATGAAACCGTCATACGCTGCACCAATCTTGTTTTGCGGCATTTTTGGCCAATTCCCGGCGAAGCGCTTGCTTGAGGTGATCGACACTTTGGTATTTTTTAGTGCCAACCTAGCTTTCCAAAATACTCCAGACACAATAGTCCAACGGATTGGTATCCGTAGATTTTGCTGGCCATTGTGCGCTGGAAATGAAGCGAGGAACCTCATTTTGTAACCATTCTTGGGTGGCGCGTGCTGAGTCCTGTTGGAAAGTCCAAGGTCTGCGGCGTGCCCAAGGCTTTAATACACCCTCCAGAATATTTTCGAGATAATATTCGGCATTTATTCTCATGCCTCGGTCGATTAATACGAGCGGAGAGCGACCATCAGATGTTATAGCCCACAGCATCGCCATGGACGGCGCTGAAGTTCTGGTGGCTAACCGACCTCTTTGTCTAGTCAACACGATCATTTTGTTTGTTTACAAACTGCTGGACAACGAATCTTTTCTCTTCGGAGAAAACCAAATTCGGCAGTTCACAAATTTCGACCATGCGAAGCAACTCTTTAGCTCTTTTGAGTCTATTTTCTTTCGGTTACGGTGTAAGTTCTTGCACTTTTTGGAATTTCAATAGCTTTACCCCGAGCTCATTTTTCAATATTTACCGAATTGAATATTGCGATATGTTCACCTCATGAACCATTTTTTTGGCCACTGCGACATGGGTTTCGATTAAGTTGCTCCTTTACTTTTCGAACCATTTCTGCTGTTGTTGCTGTTTTCTTCCCTCCACTTCCTTGACGTCGGGCTACGCTACGCTACCAGTATCACGGTAACGAGCTCTGGTACGAGACACAAAAGATTTATTCTCATTTAAATGCTGGAGTGCTCTAACGATAGCCACTTGTGGTTTTCCAGCCAAATATAGGGAAATCACATTATCACGCTTGAATTTCACCGCGAATAACTTTTTTTTTTTGGAAAATTCTCACCAAAATGCTTTTGTACGATTGTAAACGATATAATGAGCTGTCACTGGGATAATTTGGCCTAGAAATGACAGCAGTCTGAAGTTGTTTGCAGTTTTTTTTTTCATCTCTCCCTGTATATGTATATTTTTTTCTTATACAACTAGATGTAATTTAGATGCATTTGTAATCACCTGGTTAAATCACACATGAAATATTTACAACAAAATGAAATGTATTTTCATATATATTTCAATTATCTTTTCTACATTTTTGTTTAGTAATTTTCTTAGAAAAACTATAAAACTCAACAAACATACTATAAAAAACTATAAAACAGCATACATACACACATATCAAGCAAATTCACATATTCAATTATTATCAAGTTTCGGTTTCATCTTTTTTATGTTTTCATGGCGTCTGGGAAAGACTAATCACATTTTTTTATTTTATTTTATTATTAATATATATTTTGTATTGACACAAAAAAAAGAAGAGAATATTGTCACATCATCCTATGCATAATATTGTAAATGTTTCGACCTCTTTTTTGTATTTACTCCCTATAATTAAAATCTCACTAACAAGAAGTTTAATTCCAATATTTTAAATTTAAACCTTCAAGTCAAGTGTGCTGTAATAATGATCTTCATCATAATAATTAAACTGAGTGTAGTTTCTAGTACTAAGGCAATGGGCATGTTCTACTATATAATACTACTCTTCCCCTCTATGAAATCTAAAAAAAAAATAAGATTTATTCTTTAAATATTTGTAAAATTTGTATGAAATATACATATGTATGTACGTAAATAAAAAAACTAACTAATATATGTTTTTTTTTTCTTTCTTCGTTAACTCTCCAACAGTATCAGGCGGCCATCAACTCATCCGTGCATTCCACACCCTCGAAATCGTTTATTGGTGGTTCGAATAACTCACCTCAATCGACGATTTCGTTGCATTCGTCTTCATCGCGTCAAAACAGTCCCAAAAATTCGATTAGCAAAACTCGCTCTTCCAGTAGCATTACTAATTTGTTGCACAAATCTGCTTCTTCTTCCAATGCATCGGCGGCCGCTTTGCCCGTTCCTCCCTATGCCCTACAACAGAAACAGCGTAGTTTTCTTACATTTGGTTTTGGTGCTGGCGGCTCGGGACCATCGAGACGTGAATCCCATGTGAATGTCAATGTTACACCCACATCGCACGAGGCATCCAGTGATACGCCCGAGATACGCAAATACAAGAAACGTTTCAACTCGGAAATATTGTGTGCCGCCCTGTGGGGTGTAAATCTATTGATAGGTACTGAAAATGGTTTAATGTTATTGGATCGTTCCGGTCAAGGCAAGGTATGTAATTACAGCGCCACGAAGTATCTCTTAAAATTTCTAATTTAATTCAACTGTTCCTTTTTAGGTTTACCAACTGATATCACGTCGTCGTTTCCAACAGATGGAGGTATTAGAAGGTCAAAATATCTTGGTAACCATATCGGGTAAAAAGAATCGTGTACGTGTCTATTACCTATCCTGGCTCAAATCGAAAATCTTAAGAACCGATGGTTTATCTGATGTAAGTTGAATTTCTTCTCAAATTGCTGTCGTCCTCACAATAATGCCTTCATTCTTTCCCCGCAGCAAGTTGAACGACGCAATGGTTGGATAAACGTTGGTGATCTACAAGGTGCTGTACATTTTAAAATTGTTAAATACGAAAGGATTAAGTTCCTAGTGATTGCATTAAAAGACTCAATAGAAATTTATGCCTGGGCTCCCAAACCATATCATAAATTTATGGCATTTAAGGTATGGCTTCGTTTTCTTTAAATACCATAATCGAAAATTACCTACTTCTTACCATAATTCATTTTCAGAATTTCGGTGAATTGGAACATCGTCCCTTGTTAGTTGATCTTACCATTGAAGATCAATCTAGACTGAAGGTTATCTATGGCTCAGCTGAGGGCTTTCATGCAGTTGATTTGGATTCAGCTGAAGTATACGATATTTATCTTCCTAAGCATGTAAGTAGAGTTTTAAATGGTAATGCTTCCAAGAAATACCCATTCTTTTGCTGAAAACATAGAAAGTGTTTCTATTATTCGTCTAGCATCATATCATAAAACTAAAACTATATTTACTTCATTGTCATTTTATTATACCCTCAGCTATATCATTTGATACGGCCAAAACGTGCCTCATCGAAATAGCAGATTTAGATACTGGACCAAATCCGTTTCAGGACATTTGGAGTCGATCTAGCGATGTCCGTCCGTCCGACCGTCTGTCTGGAATATCCGATTTGGTGGGATTATCCGATACATCGTAATAACAATTTCAAACTTAGATCGAGTTCGGAGATGGGGAATATCGGTCAACTCCTTCTGGTTCCTCTCCCAAAAAAGGTCGAAATTTTCAAAAATAAAATAGTTTACTACTCAAAAAGAGAAAGGATAATCATCAGTGCTAGAACAGGTGCGAAAATGAACAATATCGGTCCATTCCATCAAGTACCTCCCCCACCAAGGGTCAAAATCGTGAATAATTATAGCTCTTATAAAATGTGATGTAAGAGACCGATTGTCTTCAAATTACACACAACGCAACATTTATTTTATTAACCAAACCATGTGAAGATGGGATATATCGGCCGACTCCTTCTGGTACGTCCCCTACAAAGGTTCAAAATTTTGAATATCCATGAAGCCCATAAAATGCGAAATTAACATCCGATTCTGTTCATATTCCATACATCCTATTATTTCTTCTAACATAATATCTGCTGTGAAGATTGGATATATCGCTCTACTCCTACTGAATATCCATGAAGCACATAAAAACATCTCAATATAACCATCAACGCAAGATCTGTTATAAAGATTATAGAGATTGCACCATTTCTTCAAGATTTTGAAAAACAAAACGATCATTAAATCCGAAATAAGCATCAGGTTCTTTTCAAATTACACACATATTTTTATTAACCCAAGATGGGATATATCCATCCACTCCTTCAAGTCCCTCCCCCACAAAAACGCGAAAGAAACCTCCGATTCCATTCAGACTTGATACATCTCAATATTTCCATTAATGCAATATGTGTTATAAAGATGGTAGAGATCGCACCATGTCTTCTGATAACTCCCCCACATAGGGTTCAAGATTTTGAAAAACAAAACGCTCAAAGAAAGTGAAATAAGCATCAAACTATCTTCAAGTTTCACAACATCCAAATATTTTTGCTAGCGCAAGATCTGTTGTGTAGATGATATATGGGGTGAGATGAAAAAATATGCAACCAACTTCAAACTACTGTCATTTCTAAGCCACTCGTCCGACAGTTGTTAGAATTATTCCAGTGACAGCTTATTATATTGTTTACAAGCGTTCTCCCATTAAAACGTTTAATTGTTATGCGGAGCTCCACTAAATTAGCAAAGTGGTGTAGGGTATCATAAAGCCGGTCCGCCCGACTTTAAGACTTTCTTTACTGGTTTTCTTGTTAAATTTTCCTTCATAAATTTTCTATAACTGTTTGTTTTCTTCTTTTTTCAGACTCAGGGTGCAATCATTCCTCATTGTATTGTAGCTCTTCCAAATTCAAATGGTATGCAGTTATTATTATGCTACGATAACGAAGGTGTTTATGTGAATACAGTAGGACGTGTGTCCAAAAATATTGTGCTACAGGTAAGGAATAAAATCACAAAATTCCGCACAGCAACTTTTTTAGATTTGAATTTAAATCCATTTATCAAGATTTTGTATTTTTTTAATAATTTTTTTAAATTATTCCTATTTACAGTGGGGTGAGATGCCTACATCAGTGGCATACATTGGAACTGGACAAATTATGGGCTGGGGCAATAAAGCAATAGAGGTAAAATTAAACGTTTGCATTTTAAGGATTTCTATAATTCACTCTGATTTTAAATTCGCCTATAGATACGCTCGGTTGAAACGGGTCACTTGGATGGTGTCTTCATGCATAAAAAAGCGCAACGTTTGAAGTTTTTGTGCGAACGCAATGACAAAGTATTCTTCAGCAGTGCCAAAGGTGCTTCATCGTGTCAAATCTACTTCATGACTCTCAACAAACCAGGCATGGCGAATTGGTAACAAATATGGTCCATAGATCAAACTATGAAAAAACAACAACAATAACAATAGCTTCATTAGGCAGTAAAACATCCAACTACCTAGTATTACCATTTGACGTCTGTCTGTCTGTCGGTCGGTCGTTTGATTTGTACCCCACTTGTAGTATCACTGTTATTTCGAATTGTTACTACACTTCTACATGAAAATCAACCCCGCTTCTTATGGAACAACTTAGAGAACTGAACAAAAGTAAAAAAAAAAAAAAACAGAATAATGATACGATCATGTTGTAGAGAATGAATGAGTATTTTTTTTGTGTATTTTCTTCTTTATTACAATTATTATTACTATTTTTAATGGGAGAAAAAAAAACAAATGTATAACCATGTCGAAATGTGGATTATAATGATTTTGAGTATTGAGAAAATCATTTATTTTATATCATTATTAATTTTTATTGAAAGAAAATAATTAAAACTTAGTCTTAAGTTGAAAAACGAAAAACAGAAAAGAAAATCAACAATTTATATTGATATATATAATGAAAAAAATGGAAGATATAAAGAAAAAAACGAAACGAAAGTGCCGATGCACATTTTTCAAAGAACGCTAACCTACATGAATTTGAACAGCATAAAAAACAGTGCAAAGGTTCAATGGTTCGTGGAAGTATATATAAATATGAAAATTAAACAAGTTTTTACAATAATATTATTGAAAAAAAAGAGAAGAAGAGTATATACCCCAGATTTAAATCAGGTTTATAAAACTATATTAAATATAAACAAATAAATTAAAAAAAACATAATAAGAAATCAAACGCCCCGCCCTTCATGTATTAATTAGATGAACTGAAATTCAACTTGGAAATGTACTGTACTATGCGCCACATCAACAGCCTAAACAAAAGTGAAACAAAAAAGCAATAATTGAAAAGATTTGATTGTTAAATGTAAAATACGTTGATTAGTGACACTTCCGATGCATGTGTTTGAAGAAAGATAGGTTAAATTTGTATGTTCTTCTTTTCAATTACTTTAAAAAGATTGTATTTGTCTAGTCGCATCATGGACATCAGATCATCTGGTGCCGATTTGGTTTTGAATCCTCCAATGGCCAGGTTCCCCATTCCAAAAGATTTGTCCACATACTTCCCATTTAAAAGTTTTCAGAGTAAGTACTTCTTTATATTTCGAACATCTAGTTTTCACACCAAAAAATCGTTTTATAAACCTTGAAAGTTCTATGATAACTTAATATTCGACTGAATAAAAATTATCTGGCCCATTTTAAAGAGCGGCGCACATAAATCTTTTGTTTATCCCGAAGCGTGAAAGAGTGCATTGAGGCGTTGTCCCGCTTTTAATTCAAAAGACATCGAGTTTTTCAGTGTAATGACACACAACAGCGGACCAGAAAGTTTTTAACCTGCTCGTTTCAGTTATGTTTTCCCTACAATTATGGTATTTGAAAATCTAGATATGTTAGAGTTCGTGTGTGAGTTTTTAAATTAGTCCATGGTACAATTATTACAGGTAGCAGCAAACCCCAGGTGATTTGACTTTATACTAGTGTCAAATCCGAATTGACGTTTTGTGGTTTAATTCCATTTCTAGGTACACTTTTTTCCATAGGTATACACTTTTTTTATATAAAATTTTACTGCAGTTCAGTGTGAACACAATGTTAGCTGATAATAAAAAAATTGCCGTTGGCATTTTCGCGGTTAAGTTTCGCAGTTGAGGAAGGAAGTCGTATATTTAATGTTTTTTAAAACTGAAAAATGTAGAAAACTTTATGTATATATGCAGTTTGGTTTCAATTTCAAAGGGGATGTTGCCTTTTTCACAATTTCCCAGGGATTGCTTGAAGTTTTGAAAGATTTGGACCTACAACTAGCAACTATACATTCACAGGAATGATATGAAAGCATTAAAATCAAACATTTTAGAACTAAAAGAACTGCATTTTCAATTTAATAATCCAAATTCCAAATATCAACATTTTTATACCCTCCACCATTCTGTAGAGGGTATATTAGCTTTGTCATTCCGTTTGTAACTCCTCGAAATATTCATAATAGTCCCTACAAAATATATTTATTCTGGATCAGCGTAAAATTCTAAAACGATCTAGCGATGTCCGTCTGTCTGTCTGTTGTAATCAAGCTATCTTTCGAACGAATTGAGATAGAGGACTAAAATGTTGCATACATGCATAGTTTACCAGTAGGCAGATTAAGTTCATAAATGGGATATGTCGGTCCACATTTTCGTATAGTCCCCATATAACGATACCTCCCGATAGTCGGTATTTTGATGATTTCAGCAACATTATGTACCGGAATCGTTTCAAATTTCGTATTTGAAGTTTTTAATGGAAACTACAGCCTATGTAAAAAAATTTTGTATGCACGTCTACGTATAGCCCCCATAGGACGGTACCTCCCAGTACTCGGTATTTTCATGATTTTTGCGACATTATTCACCGAAATTTTAACAAATTTCGTATTTTAAGCTCGCAATGAGTACTAAAGCCTATGACAAAAAAAGTCGTATGCAGGTTCACGTTTTCGTTTATCCCTCATATAACGGTACCTCCCGATATTCAATATTTCAATGATTTTAGCGACATTATCCACTGGAACTGTTTCAAATTTCGTATTAGAAGTTCGTATAGTCCCCATATAATGGTTTTCAATTAAGTAATAGTTTTCAGTTTTTTTAATATTTTCAAGTTCCTTCCAAATGGTGGAGTGTATTAAAAGTTCGGACCGGTCGAACTTGGCTGCTTTTTTACTTGTTGAAATTAAAATAATTTATTGAAAATCATTTGTTTTGTTTACATATTTGGGCATATTGCTCGGTATTACGTAGAAAAACAAATTTCTGTGGGTAACACTTGCTGTTGCCTGTATTCTACCGTGAAATCAGTCGTTAAAATTATGGTACAATAAACAGATAAGGTAGAGCTAGCAGCTGTAATTTTTTTTTCTAAGTGTGCCCAACTTCTGCCAATTTTGTACTTGTATTCATTGTTTTGAAAATACAAACAAAATATTTTTAAAATCAATTATTAAAGAAACGCGCATTGCAGATATTAACCAGTTTTGCCACAGAACTGAAAGATTGAACAATCTCATTCATTTTTCGCGCTTTTTAACTCACTTATAAAATGAGAAAAAAATTTGAAATATATTAAAACAACTTGTTGCGCATAATTTTGAATAATTCTGATAAGAAGCGGGCATAGCCTCAAGGCTGTATTTCTGTAATTTTACAAAGCTGTTCTACCTCCTTTTTGTACCATGGTTAACACAAACTTATTAGAACATTACATATGTGTATGAACACTTTTAAATTATCCGAAAGGACCTGTGGGATTATTTTCATATATCATTGTAATTTTGTTAAACCAGAATTGTTAACATAAAGTTAAAATTACAGTTTCGTAGCACAGAATTTGAAGCCCTGGCCTTATCCTCGTCGGCTCTGGATTACCTTATAATACTTAATGTAACTTACATGCAAGAGACATCAGCCACTTGATATTTTTCTTTATCTTTCCTAAGAATCTAAGCATCTCTCTTCAAATACCTAATGCTTGGATAGCACATGAGACGACTAATCATTGTAAAAGAACTACTACTATCAAAACTTTTTAAGCAGAAAGTGTCAATAAATGTGAAGAAAAAGAATGATCCTATAAAACGAAAAAAAAAAACTAAAATGAAATACTTTTTCACCGAAAACAAAAACACATGTATCATACATAAATGCAATCAAACAAACAAACAAACGAATCTTTCACTTTTTTTCTTATACATTTTTACAATGCATTAAGGAAACATAATTCACGCTCACTGCTTAGATATAAATAATCATTGCAAATAAATTGAAAACAAAAATCACTTATACACCAGATATTTTATTCTTATATGCAAACATATTCGTCTGTAGAAAAGCGAGAATGTTTCGGGCATTTGTACTCCTTGTTTTACTAACATTTACAAGATCTAAAAAAAAAATTCTTTCTTTTAAAGTGCAACTTTAGTTGGGAATTCTAGTTTTTCTTCTTTTGTATTTTATACAAAAACAAAATATATATAAAACATTTTATACTTCAGTATATCACTATATATTTTAAATTTCCTTCAAAAAGAATACAATACACAAAAAGCATTTAATTTTTTAGTTATATGAAAGAAATTAAATCGTATATAAAAAACAATTTGTTTAAAAAAATATCATAAAACTTAGCTAAAAAACATTAAGTTATTTTTGTATCATTATTATTATTATTATTATATTATTATAAAGAACATTATTAACGTTATCAACAATTAAAAAAAAAACTTCAACATGACAATTACATATTTTATTTACTTTTCAAAATGAATTTCTTCTGTATAAAACTTAAATGGTTTTTGTAGAGTTTCCACACTTCCATTAACAACATTTTCCTTTATTCATCCCTCCTCATTCTATTGCATTAACACCATCTGTGTCCACTTTAATTCTTGTTTAAATTTAAGTTTAATGTTTTGTATGTCCCTCCTTTTATATACATATTTATATTTGTTTTTGTTTATTTTATTAACTAACCAAACTTAAAAATATTCAAAAAAGGAAAATAATAACGCCATTTGTAAAAACTTAAGTGATAGCTATTTAAAAAAAGAAATACATATATGTTTTGTTTATTTAATAAAAAGTCTTTCACCTTTCGCAAAAAATCAATCAACATTTAAACTAAAACAAAAATTTGATTAGTAACCACGCGCATTGAATTACAATTAAAAATGAAACATAATTCATATAAATTTTAATACATAAGCCCTACAAAAAAAATAAAAACATCAAGAAACCCAAACAACAACCACAAACAAACAATTATAAACATTTATATAAGAGAAACGTAAATTGAAACATATAACTTATATAAATAATTAACACAAAGATAAACAAGATTATATATTAAAAAGAAATAAATAATAATTAAAACGTAAATATAATAACAATATGAACACACAAAAATGAATAATTACATTTTGAAGTAAATAAAAATACAATTTATATATCGGAATATTTTTCGTTGTTGTTTTCTTTTTTTTTTTAAACAAATATTCTAAGGTTGAAACACAGACAAGTAAAAAACACAAGTAATATGGTATTAGTCGATTTTGCCGACAGATGTATACCTCCAGCATTGACTTATGATTATTCAAACTGTTGACTCTTTATGGGGGAGATTCCAAAGCAGTTGGCCAATATTGACCAATTCGTAGCTTACCTAAAACTGATATAAATATTAAATCGTGACAGATTTGGACTATATCGACTACTTTCTTCACTTTATATGAGATATGTATAAATTTTTGGAAAGTGTGGAAATATGCGTGAGGTAACATATAGCGGACCCAAGTATTCCATTTTCATACTTCACATCTTATACAGATAAAAAATTTGGTATGTGCAACATTTGAAGGAAATCGAACATTTATATCCAATCTTGTGCGAAATCATATATTTCGATAAAATACATATTCATATCAGATTTCTTGTTAAGCAAAATATTTAGATATAGCAAGGTGTAAAGAATCAATGACTTGTTTCGCAGTTATGGCATATATAAGTATTGGAAACTGTGACCCTTTGTGGGTGTGGTACCAGAAGGGTTTAGCAGATATATATCATCTTCACAACAGCTCTTGCGTTAGCAAAAATATTTGGATGTGTGAAATTTGAGAAGATGGATGGATTTGAATGGTTATTTTGCTTTCTTTGAGCGTTATGATTTTCAAAATCTTGACCCTTGTGGGGGAGGTACCAGAAGGAGTGGACCCCGATATATCTCATTTTCACACCAAACCTTGGGCTAATAGAAATAATTTCGTTTATTTCGTTTTGTTTATTCGAAATTTTAACCCTTTGTGGGGGATGAACCAGAAGGAATAGTCCTACCATCTTTATGACACATATTGTGTTGATAGAAATATGGAGATGTGCCAAGTCTAAATGAAATCGGATATTAATTTCGCGTTTTATGAGCTTCATAGAAATTCACAAATTGTGACCCTTTGTGGGGGAGGTTCCAAAAGGAGTGGATCGCACACTTTCATTACATTTTATTCAACATTTTGACCCTTTGTGGGAGAGGTACTTGATTGATTTTGTACATTTTCGCACCTGACCGAGAACTAATACAAATATTAGGATTTGAAAAGTTGGAACAAAATCGGATAATCATTTCTCTTTCTGTGCAGTAAAATATTTTATTTAGAAATTTCGACCTTTGTAACATCTCCGAACTCGATCTAAGCTTAACGATAATGTTACGATGTACCAAGTTTGGACCAAATCGGATACTCCCTTCGAAAGTTAAAGAACCATTATTTCGATGAGGCACGTTTTGGCCGTATCAAATGATTTATATATAATTATTGACATTTATAAAAATTGTTAAAAATGCATATCATTACAACCAACGATGGGCGTCGAAGAGGAAAACATATTATTTTGAAGAAACATTTAAACATTTTTGACATATCAATGTTCTCAAGCGTTGATGCATCCATGGTACAATAAGGAGATTGAACAACTTAGTAAAACTTCAAAGGCTATACCCGCTTCCTGTCAAATTTGTATGCAACAAGTAAACAGTAGGAAAAATGAATAAAATGCCTGGAATTTCAAAAATATGATCTAAACCATAGCACAATAAGGAGGTAGAATAGCTTCGTAAAACTACAGAAATACAGTCCCAAGGCTTTCTGTCAGACTCATTCAAAATTATATACAATAAGTTGTCTTAATTTTTTTATATATTTTTCCTCATTTTTATGAATTCTCTCAAAAAGTATAATCTTTCAATTTCATGGTTAAACAGGTTAATAGCTTTATTGCGCGAGCCTCAATGTACGTGTCTTCCTATCTTTCGTTTTGAAAATATTTTGTTTTCATATCTTAAAACAATAAATACATACCAAAATTGGCAGAAGTCGGGCACACTTAGAAAAAAATGCAATTAGCTGATAGCTCTACCTTACCTTTTTTGTACCATGGATGTATCTACTTGTATTCTTTACCATGTTATTTCCCATGGTAGAAGAATATAGGTAAACGCGTCGACACAGCTGCTGGGACAATGACCTGTCAAACCAATTTTGTAATTGAAAATGTTGAAAGAAAAATTATTTATATTTATACAAATTGTTGAAAAATGCATATGATAACAACCTCCAATTGGCGTCATATAAGAAAATTTATAAAAATCAATTTCTGTTCCCAAGCGTTGATGCATCTACCTGTATTCTTCTACCATGTTATTTCCTGATGCTAAGAGTACGTCTACATAGAAATCTATATCTGGGTTAGTCCTTGTAATCATTTAAACAATCGTCACAATCATGGTAGAAGAATATAGGTAGATGCATCCACGCTTGGGAACATTGATATGTCAAAATTTTTAAAATGTTTTATGAAAAATAATTAGATTTTTAAATGTTTTTTTTTTATACGACGCAAATCAAAGGTTGTTGTAATATGAATTTTTCAACAATTTTTACAAATTTTAATAATTTTTCATTCAAAATTTTCAATTCCAATATCGGTTTGACAGTTCATTGTCCCAGCAGCTGTGTCGATGCGACTACATATATTCTTCTACCATGGTCACAATTAATACGGTCAAAGATTTGGTGTGTAAACACGCTATAGCGTACATTTAGTTCAGAGAACTAGAATGAACTAGGCTTCATGGGATCTTTTCAATGAATCGTGTAATCGAACTAGCTCAGTAAGGAACTATAAATCTCTATCGACAATCAAAATACTACGGACATATTAAGCTCTTCCATTTGTTTATAACAAAAAAGAGTTTCATTATTTGATTTAATAACAGAGTAATATCATATTTTGGTGCTAACAATGGCATCGATTAAACAATATATCGTTCTCTTGCTCGCCGTTGTATCATTTATTTATACCTTGTACGTGGTAACTCATTTAGTACAATTTTTGTCAGCGCCTCGAAAAACTTCAAAAATTTATACATGGGTCTTCAATTTACTGGATAACAAGTCACGTCTGGAGACGGCGTATGGGCCGATGGTTTTCAACACCCTGTATCTGATACTTTTCATATTCCAGCATAGCTTTATGAAATCATCTTGGGCGAAGAAAGTATTTCAATCGATTGGATTAGCATCGGCTGAGCGGGCTATTTATAGTTTGACATCATCGTTTTGTTTACATGTATGTACCTTGTCGCAGCATACTACCACAGTTTTGTATTTAATGAATGTTTTGAATTTCTGTCTTTTAGTATTTAATGAAAAATTGGATAACAGCATCATCTATAATTTTGTGGCAAGTAGATGTCGATGCATACAAATGGTTATGGTGGTCATTTGTTTTGTTACACGCATTTGCGTGGATGATTATTTGTGGTGGCAGTATGATAATGGATTTGCCAGAAATTATTGGAATTAAGCAGGTTTGTTCGGAACTGTTTTAGTGAAAAGCACAATTTTCTCTTACAAATTTTCTTTTCAGGCCTACTACGATATGAAGTCTTATGCCCAACCCTTGGCATACAAATCGTTCGAGCTGAGACATCTGTTTTCACATGTCCGGCATCCATCCTTTGTTGGTTTGACAGTGATCTTGTGGGCCACAAATCTTATGACCTTAGATCGTTTGCTTTTGGCGGTAATGTTAACTGCATACATGTACTTCGCTTGGTCCACCGATCACAGTGATCTGATTTATCAAAAATGTCAGTTGCAGCGCAAAAAAGAAGAGCTGAAATCTCATTAATGGTTTATTACATATCATAACACATTTAACATATTTTAAGAGAAACATTATCCCCTCCATTTGAATCACTGAATATTTTAACGTCTAATTTTTGTTAGATCACCACTACATCGCTTATTATAACGTAAAATAATACTTAAAACTTTTGATATATAAATAAATAAATAAATACAACTAACAAAATTAGTATTTATTTTGAAGTTATTACAATGAAGCATATGTAGAGAATATACCAGAATAAACCAAATGCGAGGCTTTTTCTAGCAGAGCTTTTCCCAGAAGATTGTGGGACATCTCTTCTGAATGATGCAACACCTTATTAAGGCAATTTTACACTAAATATTGGAAATTTTGAGATATATAGGGAAATACACAAATGTGAAAGCACATATGTATAAACTATTCCGTCTGAAAATGCCGTAGGGCGTTACACTAGTCAGACGAAAGGCTTAAATTGAGTTTAGCACCATAATCGAAATTCAAAATGCAGGTAGATTTTCGTATCCTGATTATAACAACAAAACATTTTCGGGAAGTGGGTGCATACTTCCTGAAATATAGGGTTCCAAATTTTAAGAAATGCCCTCCTTAAATTTTGTCGGTTATTTGAAAAATATTAAATTTAAGCAAACTTTGGTTCCCGAATCTCAAGCCCTGGCCGAAGGTCGGCTGATTTAAAAAGCTTTGGTTCGCGATACTGGTGTTGGACATTCATCAGAGGTGAAAATCTAAAGCCCTGATCGAAGGCTGGCAACTTTAAAAACCCCAGGGAAGAAAATCTCAAGCCCTTTGTTTTGAACCCTATATTTCGGAAAGTATGGATCCACCTCCCGAAAATGTTCTGTCAGGGTACAACAACCTACCTGTAGTGACATTGTTAAGTTTTTATTTCGATTATTGATTAAGATATAAAAAAGTATCTCGGAAAGTATTGATTTCCCAAAAAAAATTATGTCGCTAGGATTAGGATAACAAGACCTACCTTCAGTAAAAATTTCATAATTTTTCGCCAGCTGGAACTAAATTCTATTTGTTCCTTTTGACATTAAGTTTGATAGTCTGCGGGCTTGCGGGAGACTTATTCTTGGACAATGGCGTATATGGGCCATAGGGTACAAATTATAAACAAACAGCCACCAAAATGTAAAGAAATTTTGACAATTGTTTTTGATTTTGTTTAAAAAATTAAAAATAAACAAAGCCAATATTGCATATTTAAAAGTCTATTTGACACTAGATGCATTTTTCTAGTTCATTTATAGCATGTTTCCATTGGAAACCGAACAACGTTGTTCGCTCTCAGAATTAGGTACACGAATTAACCCGTTCATACGGGACGGTTCGTAATTCCTAGTAAAATAATTCCTTTTTACAAAATTTTTGTTTGTTGATTTTAATGGGAATTTATACTAAAATACATGAAATTCTCACTAATATGAATAGAAGAAATTATTGCTTTCCTTCCGTAGATTTATTATATCATTAATTTTACAATTTTCATTCACGTTTTCAACTTTTTTGTAAATTTTGACATTTTGAACATATTTTTGTGTTTTTCCATTTTTAAATTCTGCTGGAGGGACACTTGTCAAATATTTTTTCTGCCGATACAAACATTTTGAAAATATTGCCCCTTTTGTTTGGAGTTTTCTGTGGAAATTTCAACTCGTGGACCAAATGCGTACCTCGAATGAGAGAGAAAACAAAATTTACTTTCGTTTGAATGTACATACGCCATTCAACATTGTAGTTTTCATTCATAATTTTCAGTTTTCCCAAAAATTTTTAAAATTTCATTAAATTTTTCTGTTTTTCATTTTTAAATGTCATAATTTATTTTTTCGATAAATGCTCTCATTTGTTAGGGATGGGACATATTTTTTCGTTGTTCTGAGAGTGATTTGATTTGAACAACGTACAAATATGAGTGTTCGCTCAGGAAATTTTGTGTGAAGAATTAGGTAGTTTTTTCATAGTTAAGGGTCAAACAACGAATAGAGAGCGAATCAAGTGCAGTGGAAACGCCACATTAGTCTCATCGACACAGCTCCTGGGACAATGTACTGTCAAACCAAATTTGGAATTAAAATTTTTGAATGAAAAATTATTCAATTTTGTTAAAATTGTTAAAAAATGCGTAAACAAAAAATAAAAAAAATCTACTTATTTTTGAAAAAAAAAACTAGACATATTGTACATATCAATGTTCACAAGCGTTGATGCAACTACTTGTATTCTTCTACCATGGATGTTACGATGAATTCATGTTAAAAGAATATAGGTAGATGCATCAACGCTTGGGAACATTGATATGTCAAAATTTTTAAAGCGCTTTGTCAAAAATAAGTAGATTTTTATATGTTTTCTTATACGACGCAAATCGGAGGTTGTAATGGTATGAATTTTTCAAAAATTTTTACAAATTTCAATAATTTTTCATTCACGATTTTCAATTTCAAAATCGCTTTGACAGTTCATTATCCCAGCATCTGTGCCGATGCGACTACCTGTATTTTTCTACCATGCATGAATTGTATGTTATTGCTTAGTTCTATGCACTAATGGGTATTTTGTAAATGCGTTTAGTGTAGTACATGCATTCAGTCTATCCTGCCTTTTTTAGAAGTTGTGATCGTTATTTAATTTTGTTTTTAAGTTACTAAATAGAAGACTTACTTCCGACTTGAAAATGAATAACACCACTAACATTTATAGCTGCACTTTTTGTGCCCAGAGAAGTAAAGCCGATCCGACGAAACTAAAATATGAAAGTACTGATATTTCCAAAGGACAAAGGGTTATAATTGCAGAGATGGTCAAGATTTTTTGCATAGATATTTTTCAAGTAAATAAAATGCATACATATATTGGTTTTTCAATGATGAACTAATAACTCTTCTTATAGTTATTTTTAGACGACAACTGGTCTATATGCGATAAATGTTTAACACAACTTAAAAGTTGTTTCGAATTTGTGCAACAAATAAAAGAATCGGTAATATTGTTGAGAAAGACTATTGAGGCAGAAGAAAAATTTCAACACAGCACCACGACGATAATCCCCAATGAAATTACTGGCAAGAAACTAAAAACCAACAAACGTGAAAGGGCAAACGCGAGACCCATTTTACCAAAAATTTCAAACGCAACAGAAGCAACTCCAAAAATTTGCAAAGCTGAAAATAACACTCCTCGGGTGTATAGATGCTTGGAATGTGAGCAAACTTTTAGTTCATATAAACACCTAAAAGCTCATGAAAAGGATTGCTGTAATGAAACGAAAATATCAGGCGTTGCTATTTGCAAATTTTGTCATTTATGCTTTAAATATGACAAGACACTTGCAAATCATCAAAGTCTGCTGCACAACAAACTGCAATTCTCCTGTTGCATATGTAAGGGTAAATTTTTCGCTTCCAAAGGATATCTTACAAGACACATACATGATGTACACAGCCATACGCACCTTCATTACTTCTGTGGAGAATGTGAAGAAATAACTTCAATGTCCACCGCTGAACGTATTAAATCCCATTTTGATGAATTTCATTCATCGAAGGCTGACAGTGCCATACAACATGAGGACCACGAAACACTGAATGAAGATGACATGGATTTAGAAATGCATGAGGAATTTTTGGATGAGTTTCTACTGGCTCATACTAATGAGAATTCATTCCAATTTTCTGAATGTTGGGAGGCTTTAGATCTACATCTACCCGAAATGCTTCATGACAATCCTACAGACAAACAAAACAATGGAAAACATACTGATGCATTTTTTTGCCCCAAATGTTTTGAGAGATTTCACAAAATGCCTATACTGCTTCGGCATTTGATAGAAACCCACAAACTATCTTTATTATTATGCCAATCATGTAAAAAAACATTTTCCACCATTAGAGATTACCAGCTGCATAAAAGGACAAAGTGCATTGAAAACACCGAGGCCGCATTTATACATTGTCCATACTGCACTAAGGAATTCAACTCGACTTTCAACCTTAAACAGCATATTCGCAGTATTCACACACAGTTTAAGAAACACATTTGTCAATTGTGCGATAAACAGTTTGCAACATTGGACCATTTGAAAAAACATGTCCTTAGTTTACATCAAAATGAACGTAAACATGAGTGTCACCTCTGCTCAAAGCGTTTCACACAACTGTGTCACTTAAAACAGCATTTGGCTATTCACACGACAGGAAAATCGATTCAATGTACACAATGTTCAGAGAAATTTTGGCGGAATATTGATTTGAGGCGTCATCAACAAAAACGCCATAATTTTCGTGAAGAAATCTCAGCATTAAAGAAAGGAACTGAGTTGGAGTCCAGCTGATATTTTTCACAAAAACCATTCGGATTTCACAAAAAATAAACATTTTATTGTTAATGTTATCAAGTGGCTGAATTTTTGATTTGAGTTACTTGACGAGACATTTATTAACTGAGGCCTCGTTTTAAATACCTTCAATTTCCCACCCGAAATTCTTCATGGTAATCTTACAAAGTCCCAAAACCATAAAAAACGCACGCATGAATTTTTTATATCCAAATACCTATTTTGGAGGGTTTCACAAAATGTAGACTTAGTTTTGTCATTCGATTAAAAACACTTTCCAATTGTTTGATAAACTGTTTTCGAAAGTAGACTATGTGCAGAATTATGACCTCAGCCTACGTCAAAATTATTGCTATGTTCGATGTTGACGCATTTTTTTACATGACTGGAAAATTGTTTCAAAAAATTGGTCAAAATATAGATATGAGAAACCAAAATCAAAAACACTACAAAAACTCTAAACCTCTCAAATGGCTGTATTTTCCGCTTGGAATCACCTGACTATGACTACTCATGGTGATACAAAATGAAACACATATTAAATAAATTATTTTATTATTATCGTTTTTTTTTTTTTTTTTTTTTTTTTTTGTCAACATTTTTATAGATAAAAATTCATATCATATTGCATTAATTGTTTAAATATTTTTTAAGGCAGCGACATATTCTTTCGGCTGCATCAATTAGCTTATCTTTACTGTGAAAAGCTATGGATAGTCGGAAACTATTGTCTCTCTTGTCCGGATGAAGTGCAAATCTTGATCCAACTATGAAAAATATTTTTTCTTCTTCCATACACATTTTAAGGAACTCTGATGCTTTGCCATTCTCTCCCAAAGATATCCATATAAAATAGCCACCTTCTGGAGTTATTATTTGACAGCCAGCTGGCAAGTCTCTTTCAAACACTTCACAGGTGGCTAACATGCGTTCCTTGTATGCATCAAACATACGCTGAATATGTTGCTGGGCTAATCCCAGCTGGAATAAACTTGCCACTATGCCAGATGTGTAGTTATTCAGACAGCCACCGCTATTGATAAATCCACTACAGCAAAAAAAAAGTTAAGAGAAAAAACTTTCTTCATTGTTATTTACATTATTACCTTGAATCCAATAATGTTTTCATTCTCCTTGGTACTTCCATCCAGCCCAAACGCACGCCTGGTCCCAAAATTTTTGAAAAACTTCCGTTTGATATGACATGGCCTTTATAATCGGCATCATCTTTTGCGTCATAAGCGAACAGTCTTTTTTGAACTTTCATTCCTTTATAGCATAAAATGTTATAGACATCATCACAAGATATAAGAAAATCATATTTCCTCGCCAATTTGACCAAGGCTTCACATACTTCAGGGGAAAAGTGTATACCAGTCGGATTGTGATATGTTGGTATCGTATAGTACATGGCCCAGAATTCTTTTTTGTCGCTTTTAAATTGTTTTTCTTTTAGTTGCTGTTCAAGATCATCTAAATCCACTCCATTCTTATTTAATTTCACTGACACAATATTGAGCGTTTGGAATTGTTTCATACAATCCAATGCTAGCATATAGGTATATTCGTCTACAAATACGTAACCATTTAAATCCACCAACGTTGAGAGTATTAATTGTAATCCTTGCGTGGCCCCGCTGGTAATGATCAAATCTTCACTAACAAATAGAAGAAATATTCCATACTTAATTTGTGTTGTATAGATTTTTTTTAACAAGGAACTACATATTTAAGATACAGCGTAATTTCTTAGAGCGACAAAGGGTTTGACCATTTTGAATTTTTTTGAACAATACCTTCGAAACACACACAGAATTTTTACGAATTGCCGTATAAAACTTACCATTTTACTTCACATCCATACATTTGGGTAAAATATTTAGCAATCTCATATCTTGCTTCATAAATACCAGAAGTGGGTCCATATTGAAAAAGCATAGACAAATTTTCTTCCTTATCAATTTTCTGCAAATGAATTATTTATAAATTGGCTTAGATTTTCATTAATTATAATACAAACCATACGATGCTCCGTGGCTTTGCAAAAAATATCCCCACAATATTGAAGTAAATCAGTGCCAGGAGCTCCAACTCCCAAATTTAGCAACTTCGACTGATAAACATTCCACTCTGTGCCATCGAACAGATTTGTTAATTTTCGTTCCTCGTTAAACAAAGGCATGGTTAATACAAATGACAACTGCAAAGTTAAATGTTTGAAATAAGTCACAGAGCAGACAATTCTTGGAATGGTTTGGGGACTTTTGTGGTTTTCCTTTCGTTTCTAATCTGTTAATAAAGAATGTGCCATAACTATTATCATGTCACATTTGAGTGTACGTACATACGTAGATATGTATTTAAGTTTAAAGTAATGGCTTTATGGTATAGCACAATCACACATGTATCTTATCGTGGTCATATTTTTTTATATTTGATTTTAATGACTACAACAAACAAGGGAATAGCGACCGTTTTAAATGGATTATAGTATTTTGTTGAATTAATTAAGAATATGTTTCAATTATGAGTTTTCTCTCTGCTCAATTTTGAAAATACATAGACCTCAAGCTTAAATGCATTGTTGTTTTAATGTGCAATAACTGTTATTATATCATATTAGTTAAATATAAGTACAAGCTTTATCGTTTACGCGAACCGCATCTTATCGAGGCTGTATTTATGTTTATTTCTGTTAATTTAAGATTTAAAAACTTTGAGTGTCGATGTATGTATGTTTGTTATGTTATAGTCAATTCATGACAGCCGTTTGTGATTTTTTGTCATATGACTTTGCTTTTTTAAATACAACGTTCGTTTAAGGCAGGAATATAGAAAGCATCTGATTGAGTGTCGATGAATGAGAAGAAGAAGAGTTGGAAGTGATTACAAGAAGAAATTTGTCCAGCAAGAATTTGCAAACTCTCATTGAAAGAACTGTCAAAATTTCTCTCTCCAACCGCTCTCTTTTGCAGAACTTTCGGGTTAACTGACGACTTCCAGTAACAATTTGTAACAATTGCTACAAATTTTAGGGTAACCAGACACACCTATTGTTATTTTATTGCTAATTTCCTTTTTATTAATAAAACTCTTAAAATTGCTAATTTCCTTTTTATTAATAAAACTCTTAAAATTTGTGGTGCTTCCTTTCTTTTAATTCTTTTAATTCTTTTAATGGGGGACAAATTGGACGATCTTGTGCCGGGACTTGAGATTTTCTCCTCTGGGTAAGTCCCACACCGGCTAACGCTAACTAAAGTTTTCTAAACTTGAGACATATGAAAGGTTTATTTCATTTTTATTGAAAACATAATTTTAATGAAATGGTTAGAATCAGGTTATGCGGATGGAATGATCCATATATCCGGATGGAATGATCCATATATAGCACAAATTGTAGCAATTTGGAAAGGTTTGACTGTCAGCAATAATTTGGCATCAATCTGATTGACCCTCATAATGGGCCCTTTTTCGACTTTTTGGGGGTTTTATAAAAAATCCGGACCAAAAAATCGATAATTTGACTTTAACTTCCGAACCCCATAATGTTACCACTTGTTGGATAGGTATTTTCATAAGCTTTCCAACAATTCATATATACCGGGTAATTGGATCCGGGTCTAGTCGGGGTCTTGAACCCGGACTTTCGGGTCAAAAACCTGGGGTCCCAGGTCCGTCCCCCAATAAAAAATTGTTTTCCGAGATCAAGTTAAATATACCTATCACTGGAAAAAATTTCGATGAAGTTTTTACTAAACTAGAGTTAAGCCAAGAAAAATTAACAAAAAAAAAAAAAACATGTAGGGCCTCAAAACGCACTTGAGAACCCCCTGGATGACCGCTCCCCCTGAGTTTGTGTGGAACCCCACCAAAAGGCCTAATAGGATGAATGGAACAATATGGCATTTTTTACTTACCAGCGGTCTGTAAGAAAACAATTCGTAATAATTGGTCTGTTCCAGAATCTCAAGAACGCCGAAGATTTAAAAACGATAACCGATTTTCCATTCATGATATCGAAAAATTGCAAATGCTATGTTCCAGAACCTGCAAGAATGTACTAATTTTGCAATATTTTTCGATGTTATAAACGAAAAACAGGTCATCGTAATAAAAAGTTTTACATTCTTGAAGTTCTGGAACAGACCAAGAACTAGTAGTATATTCTCTTAGATTCTTCAAATGTAGTCCTTACCTTTATATAATCATTCGGATTGACTTCAAAAAATAAATAAAAATACTAACTCATATTGTAAACTTTGCATTTCTTTAGTTTCAATACTTGTATATTCTTTAAACAGTGACCTCCTCCTATCTTTTTTCTGGAACAGACCAAGAACTAGTAGTATATTCTCTTAGATTCTTGAAATGTAGTCCTTACCTTTATATAATCATTCGGATTGACTTCAAAAAATAAATAAAAATACTAACTCATATTGTAAACTTTACATTTCTTTAGTTTCAATACTTGTATATTCTTTAAACAGTGACCTCCTCCTATCTTTTTTCGCACTATCCTCCAACTAATGGTCTGCTCCAAAACTGCAAGAATGTAAGAGTTTTCACTACGATAACCTATTTTTCGTTTATAACATCGAGAAATATTGCAAAAAATAATTTTCCCTTTATAATATCGAAGAAAATTGCAAAAGTAGTAGATTCTTGCAGGTACTGGAACAGAGCATACGATTTATTTGCCATATATCTGGTAAGTGGCATTTACTGTATTTATTCGATAACAAAAATACATTCACTCTCGATATTTTTCGATTACTTTATGTCGGTATTGTATCTAAATAAAAACAAAACACAGCGTAAAAGTGACTTGTAAACATCCAATAAGCTATCAAAAATGTCCAATAACAATGAAGGATCAATCACAAACCCTGGATCTCAAATCCAGCATCCAGAACAACAGACATCACATAACCCACAATTGGATTCACCAATCCGAGGACCAACATTATCAACTAGTACTAGTAGTTTTGAAGCTCTTGACCCCCATGACCCCAACTTAAGTAAACTGGCAACGAAAATGTTTCGTAAAACGGAAGAATATATAACTAACGAACTGCAGGCACCCATTGAAGACTATCAGCTATTGGAGAATATGAATCGAGCAACAATTGGAAAATATTCAGATATGAGACAAATAGCGCAGAATTTGGCAGTTTCTACAGCGGATTTGAGTGTAAAGTTTCAGGCATTGGTAAGTAAGATAAACAAAATTGGAACTCAAATAATGCTGAGCAATCCCCGTTGACAGGTACCCTTAATGCAACAGATTGATGAAATTTCCGACACTGTAGACAAATTAGAAGCCGCTGCTTATAAATTGGATGCCTACTCAATAGCTCTAGAAAATCGCGTTAAATCAGTTTTACAAAGAAAAACACACATGTGATTATAGAAAACCAAAGTATTTTATTATTATTCATCGTAATGCAATTGATTATCCAAGTAGTAATTTAAATATGATTGCTATAATGTTGAGAAATATCAAAGGAACTGAAAAACAAAACGCCATGTTAATAAGCCTAACCATTGAAAAATAAAGACGGTTTATACATACTCTTTGCCACAGTGCGGATCGATCTCACCAAATTTAGGATTTGTGCTTTAGCGGTTGGTTGTCCAAATTCAGTATTTTGTTGCTGTCCGCCCCAACCAACTAAAATAGATAGGCAGGTTAAGAGTGAAGGCTCCATCAATCGTAATTTACTTACATTTGGCAAGGAATCTTTCTTCATGTAAAACGCATACGGCATTCAAACATAGCAAAGAGGCTTCCACTAATGTCCATAATGTAAACATTTTTAATAATGTTTTGCAGTTTCGGTAAGTTTTGAGTTGAAGTCTTCAGGAATAAAAACGATGACGTTTAGTTAATTGTCACACATAGAGTTCTGGCATTTCAAAACGAATGTGTTCAATGATTGCGTTTGCTGAATAAGAACTATCGGAACCAACTAGTTCGTACATTTATGTAGGGTATGCACAATGGTAGAAGAATATAGGTAGAAGCTGCTGGGACAATGAAATGTCAAACAAATTTCGGAAGTGAAATTTTTGAATGAAAAATTATTTGAAATTGATAAAAAAAATGCATATCATAACAACCTTCGAATGGCGTCGTATAGGAAAACATATACAAATCTACTTAATTTTTGGAAAAACATTGTAAGAACTTTGACATATCAATGTTCCCAAGCGTTGATGCATCTACCTGTATTCTTCCACCATGGTTTCTTTGTGTACTATTTTTAATAAAAAAAAAAATAAAATAATTTGAAATTATTTCAAATTCAGTTGCAACAGAAATGCATATTCTCGACGTTAATGGGCAGGAGATGTGCAAGTTGGGATAAAACTGTATAGCCCTACTACATTAAATTCAAATTTATGGAAAACCCCAATATTTCATGCTTGGTTCTTGGTTTTCCCTTATATATAAGAATTTTGTTTTAAAAAAAATTACCAAAATTTGTTGCATATTAAAAAGTCTATTTGGCACTATAAGACTCCGGTACAGAGTTGCATTTTACTAGTTTCTTGAATTTGAGCCACGTTTCTGATTAAGCCATGATTTCAGTTGAAATTATTCGACTTTGAAGTTTCGTACATTCATATAATTTCAATTCTTGAAGCGTTACCAAGGTAGAATTAAGAAGGTAGAGTCATGTAATCATATGTTTACAATTTTTCTTCCAAATTATTCATTGGACAACATCCATTGTATACACAATATTCAGAGATGGAAACCTTTTTTCCAAGCAGTGAAATATGGGTATGCTTATTTAAAATGACTTTACATTTTTATTTTAACCATAAGCGTTACCAAAAACTCGAAGTATTCAGTTCACCACACACGTAAAACACACAATTTCAACATTGACAATTTAACAATTTCCTTTTATTTTGAGTTAAAATAAAACAAAAACTGTGGATGTTTGTAATTAGAAAATACAACAATTGGGAGCGTCTTGAAAATTATCCCTTTTTAAAGCGTTTTTAATTGGTAGATTTTAAGATATGTGCCTGGCGTATTTGGGTAATACGGACGTTCAAAACATTTTACCCATAGTAGAAGAATAAAGGTAGATGCATACACTCGCGAACATTGATATGTCAAAATTTTTTTAAAAATATCTCAAAAAAATAAATGGATTTAAAAAGCTTTTCTTATACTACGCCACTCGGAGGTTGTTATGACATGCATCTATCAATAAATTTTACAAATTTCGATATTTTTAATAATTTCAATTCCAAAAATAGTTTGACAGCTCATTGTACCAGCAGCTGGGTTGATATGCCCAAATAAATGGATTTTAAAAGCTTTTCTTATACGACGCCAATCGGAGGTTGTTATGACATGCATTCATCAACATTTTTTTAAAATTTCTATATTTTTCATCCAATAATTTCAATTCCAAAATTAGTTTGACAGCTCATTGTATCAGCCTGTATCATTTTATCATGATTTTACCATAGTGGGAAAGTTAAATATTAGGTAGGCCAGCCATGAATATAACTGTCATATATATATTTTTTAAATTGAACATTCATCAAAATTATCTGATTCTTGTGTAAAAGATTGTTATTCGGTTAAAAATTATGGAGGATATCGAACAACTCGATGATGTTTTCAATGAAAATTTGGAAAAATACAAACGTTTTATGAGCTATTACAATTCACGGGAAAAATACCTTAGTACGCGTTGGTTGGCTAAATTGAAGAAATCAAATGCAACAATTGAGGATCGAATATTAAGAAATCGCTTTATTAAATATTTTCTAATAAATCAAGAAAACGGAATAAATATTTTCAACTTGGAGCCATTTAAAGCACTGCCAGAAAATTTTAATGAACCTCTAACGAAACTTCGACATATTTTAGTGAGTAAACTACATATGGACTTGTATAAAAATTTATTATTTTTCTTTAAGCCTAAAGATCAATATGCAGACATTAATAGTACCGGTCATCAGGAAGTTTCGAATATAATAGAATTGTTCAACAGATTGCCAGATGAAGGTAAATTTCTTTTAGACCAGCCAATTCCAGTAAATGGTTCATTTTTCGTAACAATTTTAAATCCAGTCCAAACGATATCTTGTCCAAGGCCATATTATTTGTCTCAATAGATTCAGCGCTGATGTAGGAAATTCATACAGCTCTAATTTAAGAAGCATTCCCTCCTTGATATTATTATATAAAATTAAACTTTTCGCAAATTACATAAATTAAACGAATAGACGAAATTATGTATAGCACTATTCTAAATTGTCATTTGTGGGGGAATTTCTTACTCACACTAACTCGAAGAGAAGCAGAAATTTAAATCAAATGGCGAAACATGTGAATTATGGTTTTTATTACAAAAAAATGTTTTACATCAATATGTTTCTACATTTAATAAAAGATAAAAATATGAAAAATCTTCGTCATGAAATAAAATGTAGAGTTCTTACAGTTAATATAAATGTTATAAAGAATTGCATTCATAATTAATACTGGATATTCATACACATATTAATAATATTTAAGAAATGCTAATGGAAGCATTAAAATTTTAGGTTTATGCACACTCAAAACAAACAAAAGAAATTTAACTAATTTGAATGAAAATGTATATCTGAACTTACGGTACAAAAGTGCATTTTGCCTTGAGATTATTATGATAATGTTTAAATTTCAGTAAATATATTATTAATTTTTTTAATGTTTATAAAATTTAAAATTCCAGCAAATATCAAACACACAATATCATTTTTTCATGATTTTTTAGATTAATCTGAAATAGTGTAAATATGATCATTCTACAATAGGTTTTTCCTCTACAAACTACTATACCTACAAATTATATGAGTAAAAAAATGACACGCGCGAACTTTGTTAATCAACGCATTGTCATTTCTTCGCTAAAGAAATTAATTATAATTTTTTCAAACGTGCGTTTTTAAGAATTAGACACTATGCGATATCTCTGCAAATAAGCCATCCGTGCAATTTTTATGATTGAAAATATTTGCCACATACTTTTTAATCGAAAGCTACTTTACGTGTGAAGGATGTAAGCGACGAAATTTCGCTTGGATTTGTGTCGGATGGCAAATTATTGAATTCGATTTCTTCATTGGCTGCTGCTGCCACAATATTTTCATTTGATTGTGAAGTTTCGTTTGAGTTTGCGCAAGGCCATTGCTTATGACTAGGAGCATATAAAATAAGCAAGGCAAATATGTATATATTCCACATTCCATAAACTCCAGTCAAAAATGCCGATGTCAATTGAATTTCAATATCTTCATCCCATTTCCAGTGGCCCTCCGCTACTTGCCCCATAATAAAGCCAATAACAGTTAAAGCGGCACAAAGTAAAGTGGCAAGCATTAAGAACTTGAAGCGGTAGATAAGACCTAAGATTAAAATATAGTTAATATTTTAAGACTACGTGTTTATTGAATATAAATAAATAAGAATGATTCGACAACAGAACCGAAAAATATTTTATAAAGGAATATCTCTGTAGTTTTAGTCAGACTTACCTTCATAATGCAAACGACGAGCCTGTGACATTGATGGCAGGGATGTTCTTTTAGCGCCAATATTACGAAATACCTTTCCAACCATATAGCACAAGAATATAAAGTAAACTCCAGCAGATATGCCAGCCAGTATAATAAAACTCAGGGCAACTTTTGATCCAATCGGTGTGGTCCATATAGAATAAAAAGGATTGCGCAATTGCACACCCCGTTCACAGATATCAAAAATAAACAGGAACAAACAACAGCTTACAACAGCAGACAAGTGTTTCCAATAACGGGAGCGTATAGAATTCTTCTGTGGCGATTCTTGTATCAACATATGTTCTCCAGCAAAGACTAACCAAAACGAGAGGAGCATTGCGTAAAATATTCCCTGACGTATATCGCTTAGTAGCAGCATGTAGGGCATTTCAAAGCCGAGTGTTAAATATTCCAAAGGTAAATTTAAAAATGTCAAAGCACCGCCCAAATAAATCAGCATGTATTCTAGGAGAGCTGGTGATCGTTGTAAGATATGAACTCGACGCCAGAACCAAATCATAATTCCAACAATAAAAGGGAATAAGACAGTTTTTAGTGACAACCAGACTTTTGTAAAACCACCATTTTGATAAATTGCCGTCAGAGTTAGATCATGCATATGGCCAATGTTTAAGTTCATACGCATGTCAGTGTCAATTGGAAAACGCAAATTTAGTAAGTAGTAATCATAATGAAGCGCTCCCAATTCAAAAAGTGGTATCATTTCACAAGAATATAATGTTTCTTGCTGACTTGTATGCACCGAATGACAATCCAGATATCGTTCTTCTATCGATCGCGCATATAATTTCCAATCGTTTGGGGCATCTTCTTTGTTCCGGTAAGCTAAACGGGCATCGATGGTCAATTTTAGTTCCTTTGGTGGTTCAACCAGTCCTACTTCGGATACGTAGGCCAAATCTACTTGAAGAACCCCAATAAGATTTTGTTGCCAACGCGAATAGTCTAGTTGTTTCCCATCCCTTGGAAGGGGCATTTGAAATAGGTACACAATTTCGTTGGCCATTTTGGTATAGTGTTGTTCTATTTCTTCTTGCGATATGGATGCACACTGCCCAGCTCCTCGTGAGTATAACCAAAAAGTGGTGTCATTTTGCCGCTGTGGTTTGTCTTTACATACCATACCCAAAATATTTTGATGGCCTGCCGGTACGGGTGCAAACAGACCACCCAACAAGAAGCAAATCACTTGGGAAAGTAGTAGCAGACTCACCAATATGGAAAGTTTCCGGCCACTTAAATTTTCCAAGATAGTACCAGACATTTTGTATAACCTCCCTTCCTTAAAGGAAATTCCTTACTAAAAACACAGAAGCAGTGGTGTTTGTTAGTTTTTAACTTTTTGTGTACCGCTCTGTCGCGCGTCGCTGCTACTAATTAGTTTATAAACAATCTCGGCGTTATTGTAAACAAAGAGTTGTCTGCTCAAGAAATATTATTTGTTTTCAGGGATGTGTAAGTCGACTTTTACCCAAACGGATTTTAGTTACATACGTTGTAATAAGTAAGGTGTATGCACAAATAACAACAACTCACAAGATTGGGAACAACTCAAGTTAAGCAAAAACTAACCCGGATACCCGGATATTTGACCCATGGTAGAATAAAAATGTAAGGCAGAGCTACCAGCTGATCACATTTTTTTTTCTAAAAAATAAACACAAAAAAATTTTAAAATCAATGATTGGAAGACGCGTACATTGCGGGACGCGGATTGAAGCTATTCACCAGTTTTGCCATGTAGTTGAAAGATCGAACTATTTAAATCATATTTTTAAAAGAAAATCCATGCATTTAATTAGTTTTTCGCGCCATTTAACTGATTTTAAAAATGAGGACACATGTTGAATAAATGAAAACAACTGGTTCGCATGCAAATTTGACAGGAAGCGGGCATAGCCTCATGACGGTATTTCTGTAATTTTACGAAGCTTTTCTACCTCCTTATTGTACCATGATTTGACACAAAAGTAAGGGTTTGAGACCCTTTTAGACCCGGACCAACTAAACAGATATATACAATAGAGGTATCATTTGAAGTCTAAGGTGGCTACATGATTCAAAAGAGTTCCGGAGTTGTATCAAAATTATTGATTTTTTAGCATCTTGAATATATGTTGTTAAGGATATAACGCAAGTTCATTATAAGGTTGGCCCGTAGCAAAATTACAGAAGGTAGAACAAAGCTACCCCTTAAAAACAATTTTTTTCTTTTTGTTGCTCTTATTCTGTCAAAACATATACACATTTTGAATAAAATATACAATAACTCTAAAATTTGTAATTTTACAAATTGTTACTGGAAGTCGTCTGTTATGGGGATTTTACTCCTATTATTGTGATTTGACTTAGTTGTAGCAGAATACAGGCTTAGGAACATTGATATGTCAAAAATGTTAAAATGTTTTGTCAAAAATAAGTAAATTTTTGTATGTTTTCTAATACGACACTAATCGTAGGTTTTTGTGATACGCAATTTTCAACAGTTTTTACGAATTTCAATAATTTTACATTTAAAATGTCCCAGCAGCTGTGTATTCTCCTATCATGGCACCTTCTTTCTGATAGAACGAAACAGTTTGTCCACAATAAGAAGAAATGAAGTACGCAAAAATTAAAAAAAAAAACCGAAGAACAAAATAATTCGGCATACGATTTCCGAAAATAAGGATTAAAACATCTGTATTTCTGAAATCACATGTCCAACTAAAAGTAACAATTTAACAATATATAATTCTATAACTTGATTAATTTTACTTATATATATTATTTTCTTACCTTATCGACAATTCAAAAATATTTGCAAGGAATGCTTTACAAAACAGTTAGGTCAGTTATTTTTCATAATCCATACATAAATACAAATTTTATTGTTGTTTCATGAATATTATATCACTTAAAGTCAATTTCAACATACGAGGGAAGTCAAATAAAAAAATAAATAAATACACTACATAGAGAAGTTTTTATCTGTACCATAGAATTAACATTTTAATTTTATTCAATGAAATGCATACATGAACTAAAAGGTTACAAACCAATAAAGCAACGCGAATATAGGTTAATACATTTAGGGTGCGAACAAATGGAATATTTGCTAATATACTATCGGAGATAATTTGTTTGTTTAATGATACCATCTAAAGCCCAAAATATTGTGAGCACTTCGGACGTTCTGACAAATCAATTATAATGTTCGAAATCACATAATTGAAAAAATATATTATATTTTTGCGAAACGTTATTTCACATTCCTTTTTTGGAAATAGCTTCTTTGGTGAAATGATTCTTAAGAAACACAACATTCAACGAAATGGCTTGAAATATAAAAGCAACTATCGTTGAGTGATCACCGATGTGGCTAACATTGATTGGTGAAATGGAAGTTGTTGCTGCTGCTCATAATTTTAAGGAAAATATTTATGATTGAAATTCATTTTTTTAATATTAATAATAACTAATTGTATATATATTTTTGGTCTGTTCCAGAAATGCTAGAATATAAAAGTTTTTACTACGATAAACGATTTTTCCTTTATGATATCGAAGAAAATGGTAAAAGTAGTAGATTCTTGCAGATACTGAAACAGAACATTTAGGTGAACATTCAAGATCTTGTTAGAAACACCGAAAATTTAAAATTTATAACTCTTTTTTATTTTTTAGTTGCCCAATAAT